TTTTTAATAAATTTTTTAACTTTTAATGATCAAGGGAGAAGAACCTAACATTTATCGGATAGCGCCGCTCCTAACGCTCGGTAGCGCTGGCCCTAGGCCTAAAGGAGAGGAAAAAAGGCGTATACCATAAGAATTGGCCGAAAAAATGAAATAAATCCGAGCCTTGTATTAGACAGAGAACTTTGTTGTAGTAAAAGGTTAACTTCCGAAATGCTACATATAAAAAGACAGAATACAGGACTGAACAAACAGGAGGACACCGAATTATTACCGGATACATATCTACCAATACTTAGAAAATTCCCCACCCTGTAATTCTCTCCTATAACCTATCCCCTCTTTTCTTTTCGTCCTACATCTTTGCCAGTCGAGTCCCACTCACTGCCGTGGACACATGTCACATTTCTAATTTTTTTTTTTTACATTGTTTTGACGAACCGTTCAAGGTATAGATATTTTTCAAAATTAATTTATTATTTTTTTATGTTTTTATGTCTTTTACTTGTATTTTGATTCTGTCTTTCAACTAATTTTATATATTTTTTTTTTATTAATTTCTTAAAATCTGGTTTGTTTCTCTAATTTGCAAGTTAGACGGTCTGTGGCTTCACACATATATATTTAGACCAACTACAAATAATGTACAACACATATTATCAAAGGTATTTATAATTTTTTCAATAATTTGAGCTCTGAGAATGCTCCTAATCGTTGTTTTTTCGTTTTATATTAACAAGATGCGTTTCCTTAATCAAAAACTACGTTTATTAATTGTTATTATCAACGCTTCTCTACTTATGTACTCTACTTATGTATATTTATTTTTTTTGTTTGTCAAATTTACACTGAAGATAGCCACATTCCTTGGCCGAAACGTATGTATTAATTTGTAATAAAAATGAATTTTTGAACAACTCGACTCAGCTCTTGCTCTATTGGCTTTATATTAACACGATTATTAATTTAATTAAGGAAGAGCAATAACCTAATATTATTTGTAATTTTTATTATTAATTATTATAAGATTAATTTTTTCATGTTTTACGTTTTAAAATTTTTACACGCATAAAAATTTTATTCTTTATTATAAATAAGTAAAAGTGTGAAATTAGTTGTATTTTATAAACTTGTTTATTTACATATTGTAATATGTAATATGTATTTCTTTTGTTGTAAAATATTCTACAGTAACCTAATTGTGATGACAAGATGAGCTGGATTGTCGTAAAATTTGATGGTTAAGAAACAGTGGAAGTTGTACCGAAAACATGGTATATCGAAAAAAATTTAACAATGTTATTGGCCACCTGAAGGCACTGTGAAACATGTTATAATAGACTTTAAAAAAAGAAACATCATCCTGCAGCAAATTGGATGCTCTATGTAGCAAGTGTTTTGGGCACTTATGGTAAAAACACACATTTTTATTATATACAACACACACACACACACACACAAATATGTGGCAAATATACAGGGTGTCTGTCATAAGATGTATCACCGAAAAGATACAAATAGATCTCGTTATTCTGAACAAAAAAGTTCTATACCATTTTGCAAACAACCACGTAAAAGTTTTGAGTAATTAATTAAAAATGATTGGCCAATAAGCGCGACAATCCCGGACACGACAGCGCGCGCGAGACAAAAAGTAATTGTTTATGCGTCGCCTTTTTGTGCCGTCTTCCGCCCGATTCGTCGTGAGCAGCAGTCGCGCGTTTCGGGCAGGCGATGAGCCGTATGCCCAGATGTGTCAACAGCGGCGCGCGTTATCGCCGCTACGGTCAGCCCACTGCCCGATCGCGTACTTATTGGCCAATCTTTTTTAATTAATTACTCAAAATTTTACGTGGTTGTTTGCAAAATGGTATAGAACTTTTTTGTTCAGAATAATGAGATCTACTTGTATCTTTTCGGTGAGATACCTTATGACAGACATCCTGTATATATACAGGGTGTATCAGAACTGGCGGAAAAGTTTTTAATGCCAGATTCTTCATAAAATTCTAAGACGAAAAGCTCTTTACAAAAAAATGATCCGATGAATAGAATTTGAATGGTGAAACATTGAAGTTCACATATGGGAGCGCAAGAAACTCCCGCGGTCAGGATCGGCACGACCGAGTTCGGCACTCGTTTCACTCATGACTCGTGTATCGTGGCGATGAGTTCTTCTCATTAATCTACATTATTCTGCTATTAATAATAATAATAATATAACGTAACGGGGGGGCGTTCCTCTTTCGAAACGCCGCCCGCGGCACCCAGACATTGTCCATTGTGCCTCCCCTCATAAACTTACTCATGAGAGACCTGTTTTTCTCCAAAAGAGAATCCAGATCCCTCCAGATCCCTCACCAGCAGCTCCCTGATCTGCTCGGGCCCAAGTAGTGCTGAGCCCAGCATCCTGTGTCTCAACCCTGCATGTGCAGGACAGTCGCTGAGTACGTGAAGGCTTGTTTCCTCGTCGTCTCCACATGCCCTGCACCTGGATGTATCGCTACGCCCAAGCTTGTACATGTGGTAGTTTAAGGTGCCATGACCCATCAGTATGTGTACCGCTGTCCTGGCATCTCTCCTACTCAAAGCCCTAATGCTCCAAACCAGTTCCCTATTAGGAGTATCTCCCATTAGAGCTCTAGCCTGTCTGCATTTGGACTCAGATTCCACTCTCCAGTGTCTTAGATGTTCTCTTCGGAGCCATTCTTTGATCCTCCCCCTTCCTAGACAAAAGGGGATTCCCAGAGCCGGCCCCGGTCCTACCATCGTTGTCTCTGAACCCGCTTTTGCCAGCTGGTCCACACATTCATTACCCTGGATGCCTAAGTGACCAGGCACCCATGTAACGGTGACTTCTCTCTCTCTCGCCAATTCGTTCAGAACGTCTCTGCACTCCTGAACCAACCGTGACGTTATTGTCGGAGCCCCCAGCGCTTTGATGGCTGCCTGGCTGTCCGTACAAATTCTGATGTGCTCTCCCGCTTCTACCTTACTCCGTACGGTCTGAGCACAGCTTAGGATAGCCACAATCTCCGCTTGGAATACCGTGGCATAACTGTCGAGAGAAATGCTCTCCTTTCATCCCTCTCGACTGCCAAAGAAGCCGGCCCCGGAGCCCGTGTCCTTCTTGGAGCCGTCCGTATACCAGACATCCCCTCCACGCACCCGAGCCCCTAAGTTTCCACCTTCCTTTTCCCATTCCTCCGGCCTCGGAATATGCACTTTAAAGCGCCTATCAGAAGCCCGAATAATAGGTATTCTGTCCTATCGCATCTCGAATATCGGATCTAACAGAACGTCTTCCTGCAGCCTCGTATGCCGGGTTCCTTTCTTCCATTTTTGTTCGCATCTTAGACGGTATGTCGCCACTGCTGTCGCAGCCACCACCACCTGATGAAACGGTTCGATGCCGAACATTACGCCCATCGCCGCCACTGGTGTCGTAACCATAGCACCTAGGGCCCCTCTCAAAATCAGAGCCCAGACATGCTCCAGCGCAATTTTGGCTGTTTTTTTTACACCCTAGTCCACCATACTACGGCTGCGTATGTGAGTCTGGGGCGAAATATGGCTGTGTAGATCCAGTGTATCATACTCGGTTTCAAACCCCAAGTCTGGCCAAAGGTCCTTCTACACATCCAAAAATACTGGCACAAGCTTTTGCAATGGTTACGAAGGTGCTCCTCCCAAAGCAGTTTCCTATCCAGGATAACTACCAAATATTTTACTGACCCGGTCGGAACTAACCTTACTCCTCCAAGAGTGGGTCCCACAATGGTGCCCACCTTGTATTTGCGAGTGAAGATAGTAAGACCGGTTTTTAGTGGATTCACCGCCAAACCCGTCCTCTGACACCACTCTTCTACCACTTCTAGTGCCCCCTGCATGAGCTCTAGAAGCGTCTCTGAAAAAGGGCCTCGCACAAGTATTGCCACGTCGTCCGCGTAGCCTTGTGCAGTGAAGCCTCTATCGTCCAGTGCCTTTAATAATCCGTCTGCTACCAGGCACCATAAAAGTGGGGAAAGTACTCCACCCTGCGGGCAGCCTCTTCCCACCCACCCACAGACTTTTGCAGTTCCCAGCGAAGTCACCACACTCCTCCCTAGCATGCCCCGGATCCACTCGACGAGCTTTATCGGGACACTTCTTCTGGCGGCTTTCCCACACACTACCTCGTGCGGTGTTGTTAAAGGCGCCCTCTATGTCCAAGAAAGCACCCACTGCATAGCCTTTCCTTTCCAGCTGCTCCTCAATAAACGCTACCGTCTGATGTAGAGCAGTCTCGGTGGAATAGCCCGAACGATACGCGTGCTGATTTTTGTGGAGAGGGTGCCTCCACAGAGTTGTCTCCCTCAAATACGCGTGCACCAGCTTCTCCAATGTCTTAAGGAGAAACGATGTTAGGCTAATTGGCCTGAAATCCTTTGCCTTGGTGTAGCTCGTTCTTCCCGTTTTCGGGATGAAAACTACCTTGGCCAGTTTCCATGCGCTGGGTGTGTAGCCCATCGCGATACAAGCCCTTAAGGTTCGAGTCAGTGGGCCCACGATCTGTTCCAGTCCCTTTTGTAGAAGAGCCGGAAAGACGCCATCCGGTCCCGCTGACTTGTAGGGCTTAAAGGTGTTAATTACCCACTTGACTTTCTCGGGCATGACAATCTTGGCCGCCATTCGCCAGTCCGCTTGTCGGGCTCTTCTGAGTGAGCCCAGCTCCTTATATGCAAATAGCTCTCCCGGCTCCCTATGGAAGCCCGGAAAGCTCACTTCCAGTAGATGCTCCAGACATCGCTCTCCAGTCACCACCGTCCCATCAGGGAGTGCGATGGCTTCCAGAGTCGCATCCGGTTCCTAGCGAGGATCCTGCAGATTCTTGCCGTTTCGGGCATTCCCTCGCAATACTTCCTCGCAATACTTCCTCCACCTTTCCAGTTTCGCCCTAACCACAGAGTCTCTATATTCCTTCTGTGCCCTGCTAGAGAGCTCCCAGTCGGATTGGCGGCCCGTGTTCCTAGCTCTGTTCCAGGCCCTACGAGCCGCCACTCTGAGACCCTGCAGTCCAGGGGTCCACCAGGAAGTTCCTCTACTATTTGTAACCGCCCTTTCGGGGCAATTCTTACTTTCGTAGCAGTTTACCAGAGACCTCTGCAAGTAGTCCACATAGGTCTCCAGTTCGTCCTCTGTCCCGTGCCTCTTAGGGAAGCCTCTGAGACTGCTGGCTAGGTCTTCCCTATAGGAGTCCCACTTGGTTTTCTTTGGGTTCCTGAATTTGACCTCCTTCCCCCTAGCCTTAGCTATCCTGAAGGTGATCTGCCTATGGTCTGAGAGCGAGGGCTCCGTCGAGACCCTCCACTCCACTACCTCTTGTATCAACTGCTTGGAACAGACAGTGATGTCGAGCACTTCTCTTCTCGCTATAGTGCAGAAGGTGGGCTCGTCTCCTGTGTTGAGAATCTCCAGATCCGTAGATGCTAAGAACTCCAACACTTTTCTTCCTCTTTCGTTGGTGTCCGAGTTTCCCCACACAGTGTGATGCGCGTTAGCGTCACATCCCATGATCAGAGGAAACCGTTTCTCCTGGCAGTATTCTGCCAGTTTTATCACCGGTGCAGGCGGCACCGCCTCCCCCTCGTCACGAGAGAAGTAGGCCGAGCAAATAACCACTTTCTTTCTGTCACCGGAGTCATCAGTGAAATCCACTTCTACAGCCGCAACGTCCCTGGAACACAGGTGAGGTATTAGTTGGGCTTCCATACCCTTGACGGCCACGCAGGCCCTAGGCCGATCCACTGATGGGGCCCTAAAGAGCCTACCGCAGGCCGCCAAGCCCCTGATGCAACCCCGGATTACCCAGGGTTCTTGCATCAGTGATATGCATGTTTGCCTCCCAGCTTGTT